CCCCTAGGGAAGGTCAGCCTGGTGATGGTGAGACCTTCTTCCGAGGACTGATTTCAGGCCCACAACTACCATCTTCAGACCTATTTTTACTATATACTTGTTTAAGGCATCAACTATTTCATGGGCCTCATAGCAAAGTAACATTTTATTATGTTAGCAAATGTTCCCCTATATTAAACTTCTTTTCACATTTCTCATGTTCTGCCTTACTATTGTTTAGATAACTAGGGAAATTTTTACTAGAAGAAAGAGAGAGAAAGAAACCATCATCGTAAACCACCCTGAGTTTCACTTGACCATTATTGCAATGTGGAATCTTAAAATACTATGGAAATAACTATCTTCAATGTTTCATTCAGAACATAATAAATTAACATCCTAAATGCACAAATGGGAAAATAAAGGCCTGCAGAAGTAAAGACACTCATGCAGACAGGGTTTCACTCTGCAACCCTCGCTGGTCTGGAACTATGAATACCAGGCAGGCTTTCACTCACAAAGATCCACTTGCTGGGATTAAAGGTATATGCCCTCAGGCTTGCGGTTTAAGATGTGCTTTCATTTATGTGTGTGTCTATGTCTGCTTGTGACTGCAGAGGTCAGAAGAGGGTGCTGGATCCCTTGGAGTTGGAATTCCAGCCATTGTAGGCTACCTGACATGGGTGCTGTGAAATGAACTCAGGTCCTCTGCAAGAGCAATACGTGCTCTTAATCACTGAGCCTTCTCGCCAGCTCTCTTCTTAATGTTTTAAAAGTTACTCACTAGTAACCATTTCTGAGAGTCCTATGTACCCCTGGAATAAAGCAAGAGGGCACTGTACTAGCAGGTCAGGCATGACCTTTATCTACACGTGCAGACACACGACTATTTAACACACTAGTACAATAGCCTCTGGAATACCAGTACAGCAAACACCAAGCGGGCAAGCTTGGTAAGGAAGGCATATATGGACACAGCCAGCATGATCCCCACAACCCCTTGACAACAGTTGCTTTGCATTCCTGTTCCATATTCATATTCATTAGCCCCTCAATCTGCCAGACAAGTTCATTCTCTTTATAAGAACCAAAGGCTGTAATCTTACTAAACCTTGAGGCAAAACAGTAACTCAATGTATCACTGTGGTTCTGTGCAAGAACCACACCAAGCAAGCACTTGTTCTTTGACTCAAGTGCAACAGAGACCAGGCACTCACCTTGCACTGAGTCCCGACACTGCTGCCCAAGACCCCAAAGTCTCAGGCACTCCCCGCCCCTGTCCTGTCAGCAAAGTTCTAAGAACTGGTGGACATGAGCAAGGTTAATGAATGATGTGGTCACACAGATGCACGAGTGGGAAAGAAGGAACTCTGAACAATCTGTTGGATCTGACCCTGATACATACAAACCGAGATAAGTCACAGGTCACTGTCTGCAGGCAATGCTCTAAATATTATAATCAGTTACCAACCTTTGAAAGTTTAACAGTAAAACACATTTGAAAGATGTAGACTATATGGGCCAGGGAGAGGCTCGGTGGGTAAAGTGCTTGCTGTGCAGTTCTGCTAACTTGAGCTCTGGCCCCAGAGAACACATAAAGGCAGAACTGACTCCACAAGCATGTGACATGTGCACCACTCCACCATGCACACACATTAACAAACAAAAGGAAAAAATGTTGAAGATAAGAAAAGTCAAGGGAAAAAGGCTGATGCCATTCTGCACAGGGCCCCAGCAATTGCTTGACACTTAAGCAATCTAACTGCTGTATATGGATGAATTTACCACAAAAGAACTAAAATCAACAGCTGCGACTGGTTTTCTTCTATTTGGCTGCATTTGTAAGTGCTGTATTAATGGTTGGCTACAAACCAAGTGTCACCTAACTGAGCAGAGCCACAGCTGCTGTGAATGACCATCAATGGACCAGACAGAGATTTGGATTCAAGTAACTCTGGCAGCCTACAGCACCATAAGACAAGAGCAACAAGATGATGCAGATACTCAAAGACAAAGAGTACAGAGGGAAGTGAGAGTTTCAGGCAGGTACCCAGCAGAGCTGGAGCCCTGGAGAGACCAGGGCTGTTCCTAACTGCAGCAGTCTCACCACCAAGGATGCTGGAAGTTTTCTGATGGTTTTTGAGCAGTTTCATTGAGAAACAGATCCTAGGCTCTAGCCACTGGGGCTGGCTCTGCTGTAAAACCACAAGTTCACCTCTTGTACCCAATGATCTTTTAGATAATGGGCAGGAGGTTGTGTTAGTGGCTCCGAGGGCTCTGGTCTTTGTAGCTGATAACATGAGCATATCTGAAACCTATCAATCCCATATAGATCTGTTTGTTCTTACAAACTACAGATATCTAAACAACCTATTCTTCCTTGTGTCCAGGAGGCTTCATCAGGGCCTGATGTCCTTTTTGGTCCTTGAGAGCACTGTAGGCAGAACTAGCCCTCAAGCAGAACATGGCAAGCCTGCTTGGTCCTTTGACAACCTACACTGCCAGAGTTTGCCTCAGGCCACTGTTCCCACTAGACTGGGAATGATGAGTCTACCATGCTGCCTGGCCCACAGGGTCTGTGCACCACCACAGCTGACCTCTGTGTAACTTGTCCACCCTTTACTGACAGAATTAGTTTCCCTACCCCCAATTTCTTTCTTTCTTTTTTTTTTCTTTTTTTGATTTTTCGAGACAGGGTTTCTCCGTAGCTTTTTGGTTCCTGTCCTGGAACTAGCTCTTGTAGACCAGGCTGGCCTCGAACTCACAGAGATCCGCCTGCCTCTGCCTCACGAGTGCTGGGATTAAAGGCATGTGCCACCACCGCCCGGCTGTACCCCCAATTTCTATTGCTCTCTTTTATGGCTATAAAAAGATACAGGAACATGAATAGACAATGCATTTGATTTAAGCAAATTCAAGATAGTCTTGGAAGAGGAATGTGGGGGATGGGCAAGATGGATGGTTCGGTCAGTAAGCTGCTTGCTGTGCAAACAAAGAAATGACTTTGGATTCCTAGCACCCATGAAAAAGCTGGGAGCTGCGACTTGTGCCTGGGAGGTAAACACTGGCCAACCAGTCTAGTTAAACCAGTGAGCAATCCTGTCTCAATAAAAGTAAGGTGGAAGAGAGCAATCCAATCCAGAGAGGAATCCAACATTTGCAGAACACACGAATACCTCCTAACTCTATACATACAAAAAAACAAAAACAAAAAAAAAGTAGAGAGAGCAATTGAGGATAGTCAGCACTGGCCTCTAGCCTCCACATGCACTTGTAAACAAGGGTGCAAGGACACGAACATGCATTGCATGCACACATACACACATACATACATATACACACTTAAAAAAAAACAAAAAAGCAGAAAATAGGCACACATGAGGTAGGGGTGGTTGGCAGCACACCATTCCCTCTCTGGACTGCAACCAGACTGCTTGGCAGAGCCTCCTGGTGCCACTGATTAGGTCTTTCATGAGCTTTCCCTGGGGCTACACAGGGCATGGGAAACACGCAGGCTATACACATGGATCACTTCCCAAGTGTGTACTTGAGCCAGCAGAAATCTCCTGAAGGCTGCAAGATGGCTGCCTGTGGGATGTGACAGCAGGACATGTAACATGTAGTCCTGTAACACGAGTTCCCCTGACTGGATAGTCCAGATTGATGTGGCTCAATTTGGTTATTTAAAGATTATTTAAATGATCTAAGTTCCAGCCTAGGTTTTCTAGGCACAGACTCTCAAAGTTCACTCAGAAACTGATTTTTTTTAATGATAGGGTCTCACTATGGTAGCCCAGGCTCACCTTGAACTCTGAGATCTACTTGCCTCTGCTTCCCAAATACTAAGATTTAAAGGTCTGTGCTACCACATCTGGCAAGTAACTGATTTTTACAGTCTTGTCACTTTATTAAACCAAAATGCCACATCTGTGTGGAGACAGAGTGCAGAGAAGTTAGCACATGTAAAGAATGTTTACCCTGGGCAAATGGCAGCTCTCTTTTTAGTGCAAGACCCACCCTCCAGGCATGTTGCTTCATTCGAGGAATGGAGTCTGCAGCAGGGCAGCACAGCACAGGCTGATCCTTCTTTGCTGAAGGTTCCTCTTTTCACACAACACTCACACAACGTTGCTTAGCCTCAACAGCAATGAGACTTGACACTGAGCCTAAGGTTAGATATTCTGGGTCAGTCTCCAGAGTGCTCCCCTTCAATTAGGTAGAAAGGTAAGAGAGCAGCAATTCTTAAAAGCCAAAAGAACATAATCCCTGTACATCAATATTCTTAGTCACACACCCACTATTCAAGCAGCTGATTCAAAATACAAAGGGGAAAAGTTGCACTGTATTGAACAGTCACTAATTTTTCCTTGTCATGACCCCTTGAGCAACAAGCATAAGCAACTATTCACACAGCATGTACAACATATTGTAAGTTCTCCAGAAAGGATTCTCTTAGAGGCTATGAGAGAAACCAGGAGTTTTACTATCTGTGGGGGGGTAAGAGGTGTCCCTGAAACCAACCCCTGTAGAAATAGAAAAATGACTGTACATGCTAAGCAATCATGACAGGCAACCCTACATTTCCCCATCCCTGCTTGCTGTTCTTCTCAACAAAATGGTACCTAATCTGAAGCCAATACCAGGGTATTTTCATGGCACCAAACAACTCTACAGGACAGCAATGCTGTGCTGTCTAACAAGTCTCTGCTCCTTCCCATTCTTAACAGTCAGTGCACTGCTCAGTGCAGCAAAGTTCTGAACCATAGGTGTCACTTCCCAGCCCCCACCGCTCTAGCCAATCATGAGCTAAAGGAGGTGACAGTGTGGCTTTGGGAAGCTGGGTAGGCTGACTCTTCCTTTCAGGAATATAGAGAGCCACAAGCCAGGCAAGCATGCCTTCCAGGAATCTCCCTCCTGGACCACAAAGGAAGTCTTAAGGGAAAGCTCCACAGCACTGAGGGACAGCATGGGGGTGAGGGAGAGCTGCAGCTGGACACAGAAAGGACACTCTAGGTACTCACAGTCTGCTGTGTACTCCACCTGGGAGGGCTGCGCAGGTGTGCCATCTGCAGTGGGTGCGGCTGGAGCAGAGCTGTCAGCCTGTGCTTTACGGACAAGGGCTGCTAGAGGATGATCTGGGTCCACCACCTTCAAGGGCTAAAGACAAAGAAGACACTGGCTTTAACATTTTCTATGTTCTGCACCATGTATAAAACCTTCCTTGAGAAAAGACTCAACTTCACAGTATTGTGATTATGCCTCAGGAAAAGCCCAGCACACATCTAGATACAGTGAAAGCTGCCACTGCAGAGCCACTATGTCAGACCCTGAATAACAAAAAGGGAGAGCCGGGAGGTCATGGAGGCAGAAGTGATCACAAGACACCTGTCAGAACCACACCCGAGCACAAGAGTGCTGCCACATGCACACTTGCCCTGAAGCTGCTTGTCAATGCTGGCCTACTGGTTCCAGTATGCTCCTGTAACTCTCCCCCTGCACCTTTGAAAATCACCATCCTCTGTCCTTCCCCTGAACATGCCACCTCCATGAGAGCACACACTCCCAAACACAACTTTCTTGCCAAGAGCCACTGTTATTTAGGCTGGACACACACACAGAGGTCCTGTCCACGTGGGGCCAGGTGCTCCAGCTGGCTGAGAGTACTAGAGGAACTAAGCAGGCTTCAGTTCCAGAACAACTAAGCAGAGGGTGGACAGCTACTCAAAGTATAGGCATCCAAACTCACACAAAACTTCAAACTCTACCCTTCCTCACTGGGATGTAATTTCTCAGCACCAGCTCTTACCTTCCCATTAATCAAGAGCCACTCCTCTCAGACATCAACTACCTTTTGTGACTGTGGAGAGCCGAGCTTCAATCTCATAGATTCTTTCCTCTACATCATAAACTGTAGAGGGAAAGCGTGCAAGCATTGACAGTCTCCTCATAAGGATGAGGGGAGGGCCAGAAGGCCAGAGGTCAAAGCACGTATTTAGGAACTGTCTATGGAAGGAACTAAGGCTTCATGAAGCAGCCATTTAAAAAGCATAGAATCCAATCCTAAATTCCAATCTACACAACAAAACAACTTCTACGTCGTCCCCAACACTACTTATATAACAAAACAACAATCTTCTGCTTGTGCAACCTGTAATGTGGGGACATAGGTAAACAAATGATTCTTTACCACATGGAACACAGACGTGCAGACACCTCCGTGATAAAACAAGATACACAAGATACAGCTGTAGCACAGGAAATGGTAGTTTCGTGTTTCCATATGTAAATGAGCAGCAATTTTGTGACAGTGTAAACACACAGACTAGTGAGAAGATAAAGACCTTCATCAGCTCTTCCAGGCGGCTGCTCTTCTTGGAAGCAAAGAGAGACGGGTGTAGGTAACTCCCATCCTCCTCCTCATCTTCATCTTCATTGTCAGAGGTCGTCCCCAACTCTGAAATTGAATTCAAGATGTTGGCTATCAGGTATGATGGCACACACCTGTAATCCCAGCACTCAAGAGGCAGAGGCAGAGGCAGAAGGACAGCTACAAGTCTCAGACCAGTTTGAGCTACATACTGAGATTCTATCTCAAAAATTTTTTACTTTGGTTCAATTGCTTACATGTATTAAACTATCACTGTATTCTATGAATATGCTCATTAAATTCATATTTAAAGAGAGTCTCCTGGGCATGGTGGCAGATGCTTCTAATTAATCCCAGCACTTGTGAAGCAGAAGTAGGAGGATCTTTCAAGGATAGCCTGGGCTACTTAAGAAAGAATTTTAAAGACCAAATTAAACATGGGGCTAGAGAGATGGCTCAGCAGCTAAGAGCATATATTGTTCTTACAGAGGACCTGTACTGGGTGCTCACAACTGCTCCAGGGGACTCAAAACGTTGGCCTACCCAAATGGATGTGGCGAAGACTCACAAAGATACAATCACATACATATAAATAAAAAAAATAAATCTTTCTCTTTTTTTCTTTTTGTTGGTTGTTTGAGACAAAATTTCTCTGTGTAACCCTGGCTGTCCTGAAACCTGTTCTATATACTAACTCAGAGTTCTGCCTGTCTTTGCCTTCCAAGTGCTGGGATAAAAGGCGTGTGCCACCTGGTCACATAAGAAATAAATCTTGAGCAAACAAACAGAAAAATCTTAAGTGAAAAAAAAGACAGACCAACTCTTCTTTTTTTCCAGTGAGTTTGATCCCTAGAACCCACATGGTAGAAGCAGAGAACTGACTCCTGCAAGCCATTCTCTGAACTCCACAAAGTATGCCATGGCTTGAGAGGGCTCATACACACAATATTAGTAAGGAAACATGGAAGGGGACATCGGTTGGACATGGCGGTACATGTGGGAGCGAGAGGCAGGTGGATCTGAGTTTGAAGCAGTGGGGTCTACATAGTACGGGGAGGGGAGAGGAGAGGATGAGAATGAAGAGAGGGGAAAGGAGGAAGGGGGACGAACACAATGAGTTGTAGAAACACTTGAAAGCAGACAAGGGCAGAGTCCTGCAAGGCTTTTTCTTGGTTACCTGAACACAAAACCCATGGGGGAATATTCTTTTTGGTTATATAAGCTGTTCAGAAAAAAGCCAGATAGGAAAGAGCACCGCCCCGTCCACCACACAGGCTCCCTTTGGCATTTACTGCAGTGCTATAATAGGTTTTTATTTTCAAAAAGGGCAAAAACCTTCTTTATTCATGAAAAAAATATTACCAAAAGAAAACAAATGAAAACAATGAAAACCCAAAACCACCACCAAGGTGGAACAGATACAATGTGCAGGTAAGATCTGCACAGCTGGGTTGGGATGCAGGTGCAGTTCTGTGGCAGAGTGCTTCTTTGGAGGGGCAAGGTTGTGGGATGGGGAGACATAGCTAGGGAGACTTCCCCTGGGTGTCACTCAAAAAGGAAAAAAAAAAAACTGGCTTTCTAAGAATCTGGAATGGAGACAGTTGAAAAACAGTTTCAGATAAGTAATTCAAGACCAAGGAAGCATCATTTTGTGAACATGTGGGATTTAACTTCCTACCCCATGCACTGGGATGCAAGCACGTGCACTGGAGAGTGAAACCATCTCCTTTGTGGACTGTTATGCTGCCAGAATGAGAGGAAACATTCCCAGCCTCGGCATCAACACTGAACTGTACTCTAGCCATCTGTAAAGCATGAACTAAGGACGTAGAAGGGTGTGTTGGCAGGCTATCAGCAGTTCACAGGCGCCTGAGAACTCAAGCCTCCATTTCAGCCACGCTCCTCTGAGAGCAGGTACCTCTGTATTGACCATCCTCCCAACCCCGAGAAGCCAGCACAGACCCACATACTTTTCTTCTCCTCATTCTTGTTTTCTGCCAGCACCGTGTACCGTCCTTCCTTCATGGCTTTCTGGATGAATTTGTAGTAGGGGTTGAGGTAGTGATCAAATCGCAGGAAATCGAACTGCGAGTTTCGTGCTTGCTTGGCCTTCAGCATTATCTCAAACTGTGCTCCCTGTTTGCACACGAAGTTGGCTGTGCGCTCGATGATGGCATGCATTTTGGCTGTTGGTGGCTGGGGGAAAACAGTCATGTGATCAGAGTGTGTGTATACGTACGTAAATGAGCTACACAATTTAATTAAAAGAAACAGCCTGGTTTTACTGTCCCAATTTAAGAAATAAGACATTTTAAGGTTAGAAGGTGGCTCAGAAGGTGAATATGGTCTACACCGTGCCTGACAACCTGAATTCATTACCAGGATCTATGTGGTGGAAAGAGCGCGCTAACTTGAGAGTTGTCCTCTAACCTCCATGTGTGTATAATTGTACATGTGTGCTCCCAACGCCCCCAAATAAATAAATGTTCAATATTTTTAATGTTAACAAAGATATTAACATTAGAAAACTACATAGGAAAAAGACTGAAAATTATTTACACTAAGAATGGGTGGTTAAAAATTCAAGATGCAGCTGGCTCTGGTGGCTTTAATCCCAGCTCTCGGGAGGCAGAGGCAGGTGGCTCTCTTGAGTTCAAGGGCAGCCTGGTCCAGGATGGCCAGGACTCTTACACAGAGAACAGAGAAACCTTGTCTCGAAACACCTACCCCCTTAATATCAAGATGCTTACATAACTTTAGGACCTTATCCTTTATAAAATAAAATAGCTTAATTTCTCAAGTTTAGTTCCTCATTAATACTGCCCCCTCACTTTAAAAAGGAGAAATGTTGACATAGTGGGTAAAGGTGTCTGCTGCTAAGCCTGATGACCAGAGCTCAACCCTAGAACCCACATGACGGAAGAAATGACTCCTACAAGCTGTCCTCTGACCTTCTCACAGACACAGTGGTGCACGGTGACCCAACCCCCCAACAAACAAATGAACTGTAATAAAACATTATTTTAAAACAGAGAAATGTTTGCAGTTTAAACTATTTGGCTCCTGAATAAATTCTGTTCCATGTCAAAGGGAATCTGAGTGCACTGGGACATGGGCCCTGATCCAGATTTCACCAGTTTTGGTTTAACAGAAAGACTTGTTTGTATAACAGTACATTCTATAAACATGCTAAGAAGCAAGGATCACTTCAGCACGACCCAAAAAGACAGGCATGATTTCACCATGCAGGCTCTTAGTGGACCAGGTCAACTGTTGGCCTCCATTACTTAAAAGCAATACTATGATAACGTTGTGACTACAGTGGCTCAAACACAGCACCAATCATTGCTCAAGACAAAGCAACCCCTTCACACTTTCATTTATTTTCTGTGTGTGTGTGTTCTTGTGGTCAGAGGACAACTTGCAGCAGTCAGTTCTCTTCTACCACATGGCTGTGAAGAATAAAACTCAGCTTGTCATGTTCGATGGCAAGCATGTGCTTTCACCTGGCCCAAGGTACCTTAAGAGCTGCTACCAAGATAAAATACAACTATTTCTCTAGAGAAGGCTATTTATAATGGTTAATTCTAAGTGTCACCTTGACAGAATCTAGTACCATCTGAGAGATGGGACTCTGGGCATGCCTATTGGGGATTATCTTGATTACAGAGGTGGGAAGACCTGCCCATTGTGGGCAGCACTCTCCCCTGGCTTGGACTTTGGAGTCCTTAAGTGGAGAAAGGAAGCTGAGCAGCGGCAAGCATAAATTCCTCTCTGTTTCTGATTAGGGATGTTATATGACCAACTGCTTCAAGCTCCTGCCACCTGGACTTCCCTGCCAGGATTGTGAGTGAGAATAAACCCTTTCTCATTCCTCTGTCAGGGTATTTCATCATAGTATCAGAAACTATGGCAGCATTCTCTGCATCTTTACCATAAAGATCTTAAATTCTCTTTCATTTAGGACCATCATTACCAATCCAGCACTACAGAATGCTATTTTAAAATATACTTAGTATGATAGGCATGTGGTATGTTGATTCCAGCATTCAGCAGAGATGGAATCTCTATCTAGGCTAGCCAAGGCCATATAGTAAACCCTATCTCAAAAACAAACAAGTCAGGTGGTGGTGGCGCACGCCTTTAATCCCAGCACTTGGGAGGCAGAGAGAGGCAGGCAGATCTCTGTGAGTTCAAGGCCAGCCTCGTCTACAGAGCTAGTTCCAGAACAATCAGAGAAACCTCGTTTTGAAAAACCTAAAAACAAACAAACCCACACAAAAAACAACAACAAAAATAGTTAAAAAAAAAAATAACTGGGGTACAACTCAATGGCAGAGCACAATGAGGCCCTGAGTTTGAACTCTGGCACTAAATAATCACACATGAGCCCCAAACAAACAAAAACCTCAACTAACAAATATGCTAAGTATGCATGTCACAGAGCCTACATAGCAGAAGGAAAATGTTCTCCGCTCTCATATATACCTAAGTCCTGTGTTGAGAGCCCTTCTCCCTAGAAACTTCATCAGTGTGGCCGTAAACTCAAGAGTAAGAACTGAGAAGTGGGACAGCCAGAGGTCAGGAAGCCCACAAGAGCTCTGAGAAGTTCTGGATAGGTTCAGCCGTGGGAACAGTAAGAGATGGTTCAGGAGGAAGGCAGAAAGAGGTGAGGGGGGTCTGTGAATCGGCCCAGAGAAAGAAAAGAAACACTCTGTTTGCCTATAGGTTCAGATAAGCACGAGATCAGTCACACAACAGATAAACAAAACCACGGAAGAACAAGGAGGGGATGCAGCAAAAACTTTCCCATCAACTGGGAGTGAAAAAGAGTTCTCCAAAACCAAGCTTCAGAACCCTGTGGCACAAAGGAAAGACACAGGACTTTGGCAGGACATAGAAATGACCAGGAGAATCACACACCAACACAACACCCAGTGCTTCAGCAGCACTCCCAGGTGGCAGACAAGGGTCCCTCTTTTTTCAGAGATAAGTAGACAACAACAAAGCTACTCAACACTCAGCTCTTAGACCCCAGGGTATCTCTAATTTCAGTGACTGGAATTTCCAAATGAGAAATACAAACAAACACAGAGATGCCCTGGCACAGATCTGGGTCACGGCATGCCCACAGGAGGTGCTTACTGTCCCATAACAGACTAAAGCACACGACATCTAATAAAGTCCTCTCTCCTTTCCCACTGTGTACTCTTCCAGAAACATGCCTAACAGCCTGCTAAGCAGCAGAACTTCTGGACCCTAGCCTGACCAGTGTTGGGTGGCAGAGCCAGCTCTGAGGCAAGCCCATAAGGCCAGGAGTCCCTGGCAGACATTCAAGCTCAGGAACCACCATGCTAGGTGCAGATAGCCATGTCAGTCATCTCTAATGTCTTGGGAGCAAGGAGAGGGTGAAAAGATGGGCTGAGCAAAGGATTCTGCCCTTCACCCCATGTGTTACAGGGATCCACGGGTCAACACAGTTAGCCAGAGGAGGTGGCTAGCTGACATGTGGGACTCAGGGTGCCTGCAAAGGGGCAGGTGAGTGTTGAGACACATGATGCATAAATACATAGTGAAAGGAAAAACAGGTCTTTTTGTTTCTCTTTCCTTTGAGCAAAAAGACACACCCATAACAGTACTAGAAAAAAACTAAAATCCTAAAATCCAAAGCGCTTGAGTCTAGAAGCAGGCATGAACCAGCGGCTAGAGTCATGGTGGCACGCTGGCTGGCAAGCATGCAGCAGGAGGCAGGCAGTGATCCCAGGTGCTTTATGTTCACTAGGTTCTCACCCAATAGCTAATGTAAACCAAAGAGCTCTGAGAGCACCTACCTCCTTACCCACCCAACTCAACCTTCAGGTCAGGATCAATAGCAACACTCAGGCATGTAACCAAGCCACCACGTATGTTGAGTCACCAACCAGAACTGCTGCTGCAAATACTGTCCCCTCTCATTATCCATCAACACACAAAGGTTGTATGAGCTACACAGTACCCTGCCACCAACACTCCACAGTTTAACGATTTTCCCAATGAATGCCCAAAGCCACAACTGAGAAAAGGGAGATACTGACACTGTCAGAGGGGGAAAAAAGAGAGGGGGGAAAAAAAAGCAAAGCAGACACTCAGCCAAGGACTCAGGGACCTCTCAAACCTTGATACTGGAGAATTGTGCCAACAGAACAAGACTCCCTTAACTGTCTGTGGGTCCGAGGTAACTATTAAACAGCTCAGTGATGCTTATGTTGCGACTACACAGCTGTTAAATCTAACAACAGGAGCTAAGCCATCAACATTCTATTGTACCTTTGTATTTTATCTGAACAGACATAAACTTGTGTTAAAAACAAAAGGGCTGAGGAGAAGGTTGAGTTGCCGAAGCACTGGATTGTACAAGCATGAGGACCTGAGTTCAATCCCTAGCAGTCAGGTGAGAAGCTGAGCACAGGCACGTGCCTGCAATGCCAGGATGAAGAAGCTTGAGACTATCTAATCTAGTAGCTCAACAGGTGAGTCCTGGGTCCCAGTGAAATATCCTGTCCCAAAGAATAAGGTGAACGAATGGCTCCTGAAAAATAGCTGACTTCTTGCCTCTACTTGTAGGAGTACATAAGCACACAAAAGACCTCACACTTGGGAGATGGAGGAAACAGGATCACAAGTACAAGGTCAACTTAGGACATATGTTGAAGCTATCTCAAAAAAGTGGGATAAGGAGAGGCTGGAGAGATGGCTCAGCATTAAGAGCACATATTGTTCTTGAAGAAGACCCAAGTTTGAATCCCCGCACCTTTGTAGGCAGGCTTACACACTTGCTTGTAACTCTTAATTTCCAAGGGAATCTGATACCTTTTTCTGGCCTCCTTAGGCACCTGCACACATGTGTAAAATGCACCCCCCATACATATAATGAAAAAATTAAACAGCCAGGTGTGGTGGCACACACCTTTAATACCACTTGGGAGGCAGAGGCAAGCAGATTTCTGTGAGTTCCAGGACAGCCAGGAATATGTAAAGAGACTGCCTCAAAAAATCAAAATCAAAATAAAAAACAAAACAAAACAAAACCCCATACAACAACAAAAAAGTCAACCTCCCTCCCGCCAAAAGAAACAAATTGGGGAAGGGGACATGGAACCCATAGTTAATCCTAAATAAAAGTATTTAGTATAAAATACAGATAATGCAGCAAATGATTTTTAAGGTTCAATTTCAATAGGCCTCTGATGTAGAATAGTCTGTATTGGAATATGCAGAAACAAACTATATCAAAACAAGAATACGGGGCTGGAGATGGCTCACTGATTAATAGCTCTTGCTGCTTTTCCAGGGACCTGGGCTTGATTCCCAGCATCATCTACCCATATTGGGCAAGTATTAATTGCCTGTAACTAGCTCCAGAAAAATCTCATACCCTCTTTTAGCCTTTGTGGCCATCTTCACTCATATGCACAACCCCCCCCCACACACACACAGATATACATAATTTAAAATGAACTTAAAAAAAACCCAAGAAGAATATGTATTAATGTAATATTTAGGACATTAGCTCTTTAGGTAAACGTATTCAGCTCTAACTGTAGCAAAGCAATCAAAAGATAGAAATAGGAAAGCAAACACAACTGCAATCACACAGAAATTTCTACCCAGATATGTAAAAGATGAAAAGGAAGAGCCAGGCACCATTCTTTCTTATGATGCACAAGAGGAAAAGAGCAAGAGATTCAAGTCCATGCTGAACTGAGGGTGGCTACTATCAACAGAGGGTGTCAGAGGTGTCACTGTGTGTGGGTTATGGTGTCTACTGTCCTCCTGGCTACTGTGCCAGGCACAAAACCTGGAACCTTCATACCTCCGACTGGCACTGAGTGAGAATACTGTCAAAGTAAACACGTTTTCCTAAACACAATCCCTTAGGAACCCTTTCCAAACATGACAGATACTGGGCTGGAGGCACAGGCCTGACATCCCAGCACTAGGTGGGGGTGGAAGCAGAGAGGGTCGGGAGTTCAAGGCCAATCTCAGCTATATACCGAGTCTGAGATCAGCCTGAGTTACATGAGATTCTGTCTCAAAACTAATTTTAAAAAGTACTGGCAAGATGGCTTATCAGACAAAACACTGAATGAACTGGCACCTCAAGAGACAGGGAGGTTAATTCACAAAGCTCTACCTCTGCTTTCTTCATCCATGGAAAGTTAGCCTGGACACGTCCCATGGACCCAAAAAATGTCCAGTGAATGTAAGGTAAAGAGCAAGAGCCTCCACAATTCATACTAGAAAAGCCAGAACCAGGTACTTTGCTGAAAACAGGACTGCTTTGAGCACAACTGTTTTCACATCTGTATGAGGACAGCAACATCTCAGTCCAGCCCTGACTTGGCTGATAAAACAGAGATTCCCCACAGAACTCCAAACAGATCCAACACAACTCGCTGGTATGCTGAGCTGTTCTTGATGGTGGACTTCCACTCTCTCCACCCCCTGCCTCTTCCTTTTGTTTTAAAGTGTACGTTCTTAAAAAGTACAGTTTGTATGTATGCATGCATGTATGTATCTTCATGAGGCTATGTGTACTGTGTGCGTAGGAGCTGGCAAAGGGTAGAAGGTATGTGTGTGATCCCCTGGAACTGGAGTGCAGGTGGTTGTGATGGGGGTGGAAGCAGATGCTGGGAACTGAACCAGGGTCCTCTGAAAGGAATAAAAGCAATCTACTACTGAGTCATCTCTCAGCCGCACCCACCTTCTGTTTTCTGATAGGGTCCCTGTTTGGAGCACCCAGGTGGGCTTGGAACTTGAGATCCTCCCGCCTTATCCTCCCAAGTCCCAAGATGACAGCTGTGTACCACAACATTTGGCACCCATTAATCTTCAGAGGTAAGTACACTGTGCTTTCTCATTCAACTTACAAATAATCTTGCAGCACAAAGTACCTAAACAGTGGATGTGTTTTACTGAGCTCTCACGCACCACAAAGAACAAACCACAGTGCAAAGGCTTGTGAACCAACACACATACCAGCTCCACGTCAGACGGGACACTTAATCCTAATGGGGCAATGAAAGGCTCTTCATTTTCGTCCAAGTTTTCAGTCTCATTTTTTTCTGTTAAAAAAAAAAAAGGAAAATTAAGAACTGCAGTATGATGCCCCACCAACAGTAGGTAACTATACAGTGTGGACTTTTCCTGACTCTTCACCTTTTCACCACAATTTCCACAAACCCCTCCCAGCTTCCTGCTCTATCCCATTAACTTGATTGATTATCCTCATTCAGGGATTCCAAAGAGGTGGTGGTGGTACAGCTACAAGAGCATGTTTTTGGAACAGGTGGAAATCTGAAATCCAGCCTGGTTATTTCTGAACTCCGAATCCCAGGATTCTGGGCATATGTTTCTCTTACATCTATTTCTATGCTTGCTTCAGAGCAGCCCAGCTCATTTCTTTGGTGTAAGGGAGCTAAATAACATGGCCACCTTCCCCTGAGGAAAATGCTCAAAGCTTAGTTCTTAATGTTTTTTTTTTTTTAATGTTTTATTGCGGGGGTAGAGGGTGTATAAGTGTATGGGGTGTGTAAGCGTGTGTAAATGTGAGTCAGTGTGCATGTGGAGGAATCAGATGCAGAAACAGGCACACATGCACTCAGCTAGTACAGCAAGGTTGAAAATGCTCAGCAATAATGAGAACACATAATCTTAAAAGTCAAGAAATATTTAGACATGTTGCTGGCCCAGAAAAACCAAATATCTTATATGTGACACTTGAATTTTACAATCAGTGGTACTAGGTTCCACATGAATCCTACTATGTTTACAGTATTTTACTAATTAGTGCAAAATAAAAAATAAAAATCATCAGCTGGGCTGGGCCTGGTGGCCAAAGCCTGTACTCCCAGCTTCTAGGAAGACTGAGACGGGGTGTGGGGTGTGTGGGGTGTGTGGGGGTGGTGATGACAGGGACACACACACACACACACAATAGTTCAAGGTCAATCTGGGTTACAGTTCAAGGTCAACCTGAGCAACTTAGTGAAGCCCTGTCTCAAAATGGAAAGGGAGATAAAAAAGGAGTTGGTGATGTAGCTCACTGGTTCAGTGCCAGCTAAGTTCAATCCCCAATACTGAAAGAAAATTGTCAGGCTCCAGGAACATGATTTTATGATGAGAGGAAGCCCACGGAGCCACACTGGTATTCACTACCCTACTCAGTACTAAGCTACAACAGATCTAAGCCCAGACCAGTGGGTCAGCAAACAGTGCAGAGGGGTACCACCAACAGGGGTCATATGCTTTGCCCCAGCCACTCCACTCTGCTGAAGCACACCATTCCTCCTGAGCTGTGATCCAACAAAAATGCCTTTACATAAACCTGGCACCTGGCCTGTGGGCAAGGATAAGACGTTAGGAATACAGTGTTCCTTTCTAAAGATAGTTGCTGTAATCTTAAAAAAGAAAAAAAATGCATGACCTCTCTGTATTTCAAAGTTCTTTAGTCAGAAAATAGTTGAGATGCTGGGGAGCGGCGGTGCATGCCTTTAAGTCTAGCACTTGGGAGGCAGAGGCAGGAGGATCTCTGTGAGTTCAAGGCCAGCCTGGTCTACAGTTCCAGGACAGTCAGGGCTGTTACACAGAGAAACCCTGTCTCGAAAAAACAAAAAGAAAAGAAAGAAAAAACAAAAGAAAATGGTACTAGTATGGTGACAGTATGTATTTTCTCCTTCTGTTGATGAAGCAAACAAAATACCCAAAACAAAGTTGAGCAGAAATAATGTGGTCCAGACAAATCAATGGGTTTTAGTTCTTAGACCTGAAAGAATTCTAGCACTTCACAACCTCCATAGGACAGTTAATTTCAGAAGCCAACACAGGTGCCAGCACTTGGGAGGCAAAGCACTGAAACAAACTTTAGGCCAGCCTGGTCTATATAGTGAGGTATAGGCCAGGCCAGACAGGGACATACAGTGAGAGCCTATGCAAATTTAAAAAACAGGACACACACACACTCGAGGGCAGCACAGATCGCAGGTGGTTCCTTCAATCGCCTTTCCCAACACAGTCCCAGATACGCTTGCAAAGCCTCAGTAAGTCCACATAGCAGCTGTGTGTGTTACATTTTGCCCATAAGGTGATGAGTGTGGCTAGCACAAGGGCAGGAAGGAAGGCCTGCATGGACATCTGTTTGCCTGCTATTCTGCTACCCCACTCAGTGGGTGGAGTGAGGTAGGGTCGAGCTAGTGCAGTTGCAGGACACAAGGGTGGACAGCGCCTGTTTTGAATATGCAGCTGTGATCTCACTTCATCACCTTCAGGAGCAGATTCAGCTCTGACATAAGTCTCTGCAGGATGTGATCTAGTTTCCTATTTTAAATATCTGAACAGCTTTCCAATGTTCAAGGTTTTTCTCTTCTTCAAACAGAACATCCAGATTGTCAGAGAATTATCCTTAATGGCTTAAGTTTATATCACTGACAAAAGCTAATCGGTATGTCCTACTGTGACAATGGTCTTCTCAGGGCTCACAGAAGTGACCAAGGGCTCTGCTTATACTGCAAGCACTTGGAGTTTTTGATAGCACTCTTTTTTTATGCTCAAAGGTGCCGCATTAGCCTAGGAAGGGCACCAGCTTCAATCTTTAATGTTAACAAGTCCCTCAGGTGTCTTTCCACTGGTCAGGTCTGTAGGGGATAGGCTTTGCAGAGGTTCATGGGAAAGAGATGGATATTAATGATTCCTAGGCAAAACTGACTTTCCAGTGACCCCAGAATGAATACTAAGGCTATACAAGTGTGGCAGTTTGAATAAGAATAGTCCCATAGGCTCATATACAACAACACTTAGCCAGCAAGGAGGGGTACTATTTGAAAGGATTAAAACAATTAGGAGGTGTGACCTTATTGGAGGAGGAGTGTCACTAGTGGTGGGCTTTGAGGTTTCAAAAGCCCAAGCCCAGCCTAGATAGAGTCTCTCACTTTCTGCCTATGGATCAGAATGTAGTTCTCAGCTACTGCTCCAGGGCCTGCCTGTATGCTCCCTGCCATGATGGAAATTGACTAATAAGCTTCTGAACCTGTAAGTAAGCCCCAAATGAAATGCTTTCTTTCATAAGATTTTCCTTTGGTCACAGTGTCTCCTCCTTCACAGCAATAGAACAATGACTAAGACAGAAGAATGTGTGTTTGATGCAGAAGCATGGATCCCAGGATGAAGAACTCCGTGAGACCCTAAGTGAGACCTAATCCAGGTAGCTAATCAAAGTCAGACCTGTCTTTCCACTGCCACTCACAATTCATCTTCTAGCTTTTAGCTTTGTTCCAGCAAAAGGCACCTCATAGTGTCCCTATAGGACAAGTGGCAGGTTCCTTTCCCCTCACCTCTCTGTCTCGAAGGCTCCTCCTCTTCCGTGGGCTCTGATGGGTCGTAATAGTCACTGCCGTAAGTGAACCCTACGGCACTGTAGTTCCCATCCTCTGCCAGAGCTTCGCTCAATCTTTTGTATTCTTCCTCTTGAATAAAAATGAGAATTTTATTAACAAAAATGGACGTTTACTAAGAAAAACTTCATACACTTCTAAAGTGCAGCTATCAGTAAAGCATAAAACACACACTTTTTTCAATCTCTTTTTGAGGAGAAAATTTTTCTGGAAATGCACACTTGGTATCTATTGTTATGTACTTTTGCCAGTATGTGTTTACCCACAGATAGCAGAATACACGTCTTTTATGGAAAAATTCTTCCTGCTGAGGAAATTTTGGGATTAAAAACTGTATTAAAGATAATTAAGGCAAAGACAAGAACATCGATTTTAATTCATACAATACTGTTAAAGAAGAACAGTTAAAGAGTTTTGTTTTTTGTTTTTGTTTTTTTCAAATCCCAGTCTGCCCTCAAAAGCTGGGAAAATTCTCTGTGGTTCTACATATAAGCTATCCTGAGGTCCTCTCAGAACGCAAAGACTCCTGTTTTTCCAATCCACTGGGTACTGTCAAGATAATATCAGAAAGAGTGAGTATAAAATAAATAAATGGGAGTAACGTTTTAAATAGTTAAATTTTAAAGGGTGTGGCTAAAGTAGGTCTTTCTTGAGCAGTACCTTGCCTTGCCTCCTCCTCAAGCAAGTCCGTATGCAAGGCTAAATACCTCTCCTCATCACACAGCGCCTCTACCCGCGCCTCCTCTTCAGACAGCTGGTAGTCTCGGTTCCACGTGGCGTACTCAGCATCGTACGCAGAGAGGTCATGCAGGTGACCACGCCCGTCGTATCTGTAATGGGAACAGGCTGGTCAATGGATGGAAGTCTACACCCATGCTGGTTGCATGTGACAGTCTATACACATACTTACCAATTAAAATAATGAAATAAAAATATTAAATCAAATGCAAAGCTTCAGATATATACTTAACATGACTAGTCATAGCTCACCTACTTTTTAAACTGAAGTAATCATAACAAAGACTAAGCTCCTCTCTACAGTACAACAGAACTTAGAGCTAAAGGCAGACAATCCTTTAGGGCAGAAAATGTATCCCCCTTGCTAGCAGTTCTTACCATGTATGCTTTGGTCAACCATTCAATGCCACTTGCAAAAAAATATCTGTTCTCAGCAGTTAAATATTACAGCTTACATTCACACAGACCGAGTCCATAAATACCTATCCGACAGAACCAAACGGGCGAAATTTCCTCGCTTCTTCCTGCTAGTCCCGAACTCTCAGGAGAGATCTTCACCAAAGAAACTTGCGTCCATTGGAGGTAAAATCTTGGCTAGGCTCGCCCCTAGCCACTTGGCTGAGGAAAGAAGTGCTGGGTTATGTGGTAGAGAGACACACATACAAAGGAACAGTGACATATACATGCAGTTTAAGGAGGTTCACGGCAAACACTGCAAAACCACCAGAAGGCGCAGCATCTTAAACTTTAAATCCCACAATGAAGACACATCAAAGAAGACCAAATTAGGAATAAAAAGAGCACTTTCTGCTATGTTTGAACATAAGATCCAATACAGATGCTGTCAATGTACAACTGCCAGACAATAATGGGTTAGTGACGTTTGAGACTCAAATTTAGGTTGCAAAAGTGAATGTGGGACAACAAACAAAAGTTTGCATGATTTATTAACGTCGACTTTTGTAATGGAGACCAAATTAAGGAAGGAAAATGTGCGCCACAGGAAAAAGGCCAAAAATTCCTGGGAACCCCAATGGTTGCATTTTTATTAACTTTCAAATTTTGCTTTACTTTGATGTAAACCTCCTTAACTTACAAATGTATTACTTTCAAATATTACACATATCTATGTGTGGTGTTTGCTCCCCACCGGTTCTGGGAGATCTAACTTAACTCATGCACAGAATGGTAATGGAAAGAAACTGCATATGGAGTGGCGGCTTCAGCATCTGCCCCACTGTAACAGCACACATCACGGTGAGTGCCTGGGAAGCAACAGCTCTTGCCACCAAGCGAGGTTCAAGGCATAGCACATTCCAGCAGAGTGGACCATCAGATCTGCAACACTCCCTTCGTGAGTCCTTTTTTCCTAGATCTGTCCCCAAACACAGTTGGAAGGGACTGGAAAGGCCTACTGGTCATTAATGTGTCCGTTCTGGCCAGCTCAGAGGTCATCCCTACATGAACAGTCATGCATGTTCCATGTCCTCGCAGAATCCAGTTTTATTTGTCTCAAACGATGGGTTTCCTTCACTCGGGGAAAACCACTCCACAGCTTAATGGTTGGTCACTTAGCCTTTGAGTCCTGGCCTCAGAAGCCATATTACCCAATGGAAGGTCAAATACCCAAACCCAGGATGGTGGGGAAGGAGAAGGGGACTGAGAAAAATGAGAAGAGAGGTGGGGAGCAAACCACCCACATCATGTAATGCCATCCTTTTCAAATCAAACACCGTTTAGAGATCCACAGCCCCACCCCTTTACCCTCAACTCAGGGCACCCTTAAGTGGGTGTGATTTGAAAAGAAACAACACAAAGGTAACCCAGCTCCACCCTTCAATTTTAGGAAACAGTGAAACCAGCTCTAAGAACGCTACCCCTAAGAGCAAGGTCCGCACGGGGTCGACCGGCCTCCAACAGACGGCAACTTCACCAACTACCGCGGTGGGTCAAATGGTCGAGTAACCGCGGGGAGGGGCTCGCCGGACGCCAAAAGTCAAGCCGGCCAGAGACGGTTCAGGCTAACTCACGGGGTCCAAAAGAAGCTTCTACCCACGGCCTTGGCGTGCGGCGCTTCGGAGGAACAAAAGCGCACTCCCGGGCTCCCTCCCGCACAGCGAGCGGAGGGACAGCGGCACCCGCCCCACGGCGCGGGCGGGAGGCCCGGGCAGCTTCCACCGCGCTGAGTCGCTAGCGGCAGCCCGGGCTCGAGGGGTTGCGGGAGCAGGAGTCGATCCCTCCGGCGACGGCGCGGCGCCAGCTCTGCCCGGAGCCTTAGGGCCGGTTTCACCGTCCCCTCCCCCCGGATGCCGGGGAACGTGGGGCAGGGAGCCCCCCGGGTCCCCGGGCTCCGCAAAACCCCCTTTTCGGTCCTGGCCATCAAGTCAACATCAGGCGAAATCAAGCGGGCGAGGGAGGGGAGGGTCGACGGGTGGGGGGAGGAACCGACCTGTCGATGAGGATCTTGTGGTCCCCCATCCAGGGGATGAGGTGCTGTCCCTGTTCCTGGGCCAAAGCCCGCTCGTCGTCGCGGAACAACTTGCAGGCATAGCCGAAAACCAGAAGCTCCACCCGGTTGCCCCCAGTGCCGGCACCGCCGGGCCCGGCCTCCTCCTTCGCTCCTCCTTTCCTCTCTGGCTTGGCGCGGCCCCCGCCGGCACCGTACATGACAGCGTCCCCGACGTCCGGGCCGATCTGCTGCTGTGCCGCACAACGTCCCAGAGGCCTCGCCTGTCCTACCCCCTCAGTCAAAGGCGCCGCATCCCCGTCGCAACTTCAACACAGCCGCCATGGCGGGCAACAAAATGGAGGAAACGCAACTTCCGTTGGAAAAGCCGCACTTCCGGAAACAACAGTGGTAGATTCGTCACGGCTACCGGGGCCACTTGAAACTCTAAAAAAAAATACGACCTTGTTTTTCGTTATTCGATTCTGTATTGCATTGGAAATTTCTGTTTATACAAAACGTTCTATTTCTAATTTTTGGTGGCCACCTAGGGTGTGGCGAAAGTGCGGTTTGCGGTCGCGCGCCGACTTCCGCTGGGACTGGAGAGGCTGTGAGATGTGAAGGCTAAGTGGGATCTTGTTGGGATCGTGTCGCTGCTCTCTTAGGGAGGCCGGCGGAGTTTTGCTCACTTCCGACACCAGTTTTTTTTTTTTTTTTTTTTTTTTTTTTTTTTTTTAGATCACTAGGAAGCCAAGGTCCTGGCCGTCTGACTCAGAAGGTTTCCAAGACTGTGAGCCATAAATGTTCGAGTGCTTTCAGTGCTGGGGGGACTGCAGTGGGTGAGAGAAACCCAGCTCGGAGACAGCGAGGCTGGTTGTTTCCTTCTGGGAAGCAGAGTTTGTTTGTTTTTTTTTTTTTTTTTTTTTCCCCGAGATAGGGTTTCTCAGTGTAACAGCTCTGACTGTCCTGGAACTCACTCTATATCCCAGGCTGCCTCTGCCTCCCCAGTGCTGGGATTAAAAGCGTGCGCCACCACCGTCCAGCTCAGAGTTGGGTTTTTTGTTTGTTTGTTTTTTAAAGCAGGGTCTCACCGTGACCCAGGTTGGTCTCGAACTCTGGCAATCCTGGCTCAGCTAAGTTGCTGTTATTACCGGCGAGCGCTCTGCTGGGCTGCAGTTTCTCTGATATCTGGATCAGATTGTTGGGTGGAGTGGCACACCGATGGTCTTGCTTAGGAAAGAAATCTCCGTGTTTCTATTTTCATCTGTTCCCTTTCAGTTCTCGTATGAATCCAGGGCCTCAACACTTGCTAGGTAAAATACTCTATCACTAAGCAATGTCCCCAGGCCTTTTCTTGCTCAGTTTCCCAGGTTGACGTTTACTTAGTTTGTGATAATGTATGTGGACTGCCCGAATTAGATCCTTGGACCACCGTGATGGAAGGAGAGAACCCCTCGGGAGCATCCCCTCCACACATGCGCGCACGCACACGCACACACAAGCACAACTACATTTTTAAAAAGTGGATAGCAAGTGAGGAAAACACTTGATGTTGACCTCTGGCCTCTACATGCATGTGTGTTTGCATGAAGGTGCACATATGTACACATGTACACACACTAGAAAACATACTAAGTGAAACTAGTCAACCATGTGGAGAATGCTGCTTTGCTTAAATATGTAGTACCCAGGGCAGAAATATGTGTGTGTCCATTGATCCCAGTCAGAGTTCATTCAATGAATTTTTAGTGAAAACGTTAACAATTACCCTCTCACACACTCACAGAGTTTCTCTGTGTAGCCTTGGCTGTCCTGAAATTCTCTTTGTAGACCAGGCTGGCCTTGAATTCAGAAACTGGCCTGCCTCTCTCTCCCAAGTGCTGGGATTAAAGGTGTGAGAGACCACTGCCCAGCCTGAAAACTTTATGTAGTATAAAAATACTGCTATTGCTGGACGGTGGTGGCACACGCCTTTAATCCCAGCACTCGGGAGGCAGAGGCAGGCGGATCTCTGTGAGTTCGAGGCCAGCCTGGTCTACAAGAAATGGGTTAGGCAAAATATGAGAATTAGCCCATAAGAGGCTAGAGCTAGTGGGCCAAGCAGTGTTTAAATGAATACAGTTTGTGTGTTGTTATTTCGGGGCATAAGCTAGCAGGCGGCCAGGGTGCTGGGGACGCAGCCCCGCCGCTCCTATTACAACAGACTTGTGGCCCCTATAGCTCACTGTCTTATTTAGGGTTTCTGTTGCTGTGAAGAGACACCATGACCATGGTAACTCTTTTTTGTTATTATTATTCTCTTTATTTATCGCTTTGGAGCCTATCCTGGAACTCATTCTATAGACCAGGCTAGGCTTGAACTCACAGAGATCTGCCTGTCTCTGCCTCCTGAGTGCTGGGATTAAAGGTGTGTGCCACCACAACCTGACCTAACCATGGCAACTCTTAAAAAGGACATTTAATTGTGGTGACTCCCTCACAGTGAAGAGTTCAGTCCATCACCATCATGGTGGGACATGGTGGCATGCAGGCAGACATGGTGCAGGAGGTAGCTGAGAGTCCTACATCTTGCAGGTCACAGGAAGTCAACTGTAATAGAGGGAGTAAGTAGCTTGAGCATAGGAGAACTCAAAATTCACCTCCACAGAGACACACTTCCTCCAACAAGGCCACACCTCCTAAAAGTGCCACTCCCTTTGGGGGCCATTTTCTTTCAAAGTGCCACAGTCACATTCCTATAGGTATATAATGTCATGAAGGCTGCCTTTTGGAGCCACACATCCGTGATGTAGCTGATGCTATTTCTTGCACCGGGCTGCTTGCTATCTGAGCCTTGGCTCATAGATCTAGGCTTCTTCTGTCCCTCGGGCCTTATTTGTGGGTAATAAATTGTTTTCATGTAACTTACTGCATGAGTGTTTTCTGCCTCCCTGGGTTTAGTTAGATACACTGCTAGCCAGTGCACAGTGAGTGTGTCTGCCTCACATTGAGCTTTTGAGATCTCTGCGTCTTGCTGTGCTTTGGAAGCCACCACTGGCAAGTCCCTAAGGTCAAGTCCCACAATGTAGATTGTGTACCTTAGAACAATTTCTTGGCGGGGAGGTGGTACAAACTGGTATAGAAGTCTCAACAGAAAAGCACCCTGGTTTTATCCTGTGGAAACCTGGCTGAATTCATCAGGAGTCCTCTGTATGTAAAATTACCAAAAAGATAGGGAATCAGGTTGGTCCTGATCAAAAGGTATTAGAATGTCACTGTGTGGAAAACTGTCCGGTGGTACGTAAATATGGATGTGCACACAAGAACTATAGGTGCGGTGGGCAAACTCTGCAGCTTTGCTTGCTTTTTTTTTTTTTTTTAGTTTTTGAGACAGTCTCATGTGAATGAAAAAAAGGAGGACATGACTGCTCCTAAGGGGCTGAGGTTTTTATTATCGATATAAAGGAGAGTACAGGTATCTGGGGGAGTCCAGAGTGGACATAACTGGAGGAGAGGGGAGAGCCAGGAGACTAAGAGGCCAAAAAAGAAAAGGAGATGTGGGATTCCCCTCTGTATGCCACAGCTTTAATCCTAGCCATATTATTTAGCAAATTAACGACTCATATGGTCAGAAAAAGAAAGTTATATAGTAAAGATAGATTCAGATGAAGAAAACCTCTAAATGGTTTATATTGTGCTTAAAAATATATGTAGGCTTGGCAAAGAAAAAATAAAGAAGGATAAAGTCCTTAAAAAAGAAAAAAGAGAGTAGTTTGATGTGGTGGCAGACACCTTTAATCCAAACACTTGTGAGGCAGAGGCAGACAGATCTCTGTGAGTTCAAGGTGTGGTGGCACACACCTTTAATCCCAGCACTTGGGAGACAGAAGCAGGCAGATCTCTGTGAGTTCAAGGACAGCCTGGTCTACAGAGTGAATTACAGGACAGCCAAAGATACACAGAGAAACCCTGTCTCAAAAAGCCAAAAATTAAAAATAAAAGTAAAAGAAATAGAGTTTAAAATAAAGTCACATAAAGATGGAAAATACTCAGAGTCTGGATTTTGTATGTGATTATATTGTCTTTGAATTGCTTAACAGCTGAGGAAGGAGCAAGAGCTACTAAAAGACATTTGAATATAAATACTGCTGAATTAATAAAACATGAATATTTTGTAAATGCCTTGTCTTCAAAATTGAAGTCAAAGGATATGTTACTTTGGAGAAGAGGTTTTGCTTTTGTTTCAACAGGAAATGAGAGGCTGTGGATTCATTTTGGGCTAAGAAAAATAAGGTTTGATCAAGGAAGACCCTCTGAGAAATCTCTAGTAGGAATGGATGACCCAGATATCTGAGTTCTACATCCAGAAGTTTCAAGACTGCTGGCTGAGATGATCAAGCCTGACAGAATATTCCATTCAGGACTTAACCATAATTCAAAATTTTCTTTAGGTCCCCATAAGATTATCAGTGCCCCCAATCAGCAGGAAGTATCCTGGAAAACTATGCCCAAATTCCCAAAAAATGGACTATGGATATTTTACTTTGTTTAGAATGTTGGTTACAAGTTGTTATGGATAATGGTTAGGAGCAAGCTAAACAAAAGATATTCAATTCAGAGTTCTCGTTTTGTTTTGTTTTTTTAAAAAGGGGGGGAAGTGCTATGGGACAATGGTCTTTTATCCTGTCACTTGTATTATTTTTAATAAAATGCTGATTGGCTAGTAGCCAAAAAAAGAGGTAGCTAATAACAAGACTGAGCTATAGGTCGAACCAATATTAAGCCTCTATGTGGTTACTTGGGAGTGATTGCAGGACAGAAACTTCCACCTACAGTATGCCAGCCAGGAGGATTCTGGAACAGGTAGGGCTGAGAGATGCTGAGAGAACTTAGCTTTGATATGTTAATAGGTACCTCAGCTGTTGAGACCTAATATTATGTAGCCCAGGTTTGGCTTCAAACTTGTTATGTAGCCAGTGATTACCTTGAACTTCTGATCTTTCTGCCTCTCTCCTGAGTGCTAGATTTATTGGGGTGCACCACCACAGCTGGTTTCTATGGTCCTGGAGGTGGAACCCAGAGTCTTATACATACATGACAAGTACTTTACAAACTGAACTATCTCCCAGTCCTTCGTTTGCGTTTACAGCTTTAGAGGCACCCGATTT